TGGGCACTGCCCCTCGTGATCTTTCCCCCCTATTGGGCACTGACCCTCATGCTCTGTCCCCCCTGTTGGACACTGCCCCTCCTGTCTGTCCCCCCTACTGGGCACTGTCCCTCGTGATCTGTCCCCCCTACTGGGCACTGCCCCTTGTGATCTTTCCCCCCTATTGGGCACTGACCCTCATGCTCTGTCCACCCTATTGGGCGCTGCCCCTAGTGCTCTGTCCCCTCTATTGGGCACTGGCCCTCTGCCCTAGGGGGACCAAACCCTCTATTGATACAAAATTGAGTCCCCTTTCCAAAAGGATGTTTTACACAAAATTTAGTTAAAATCCCTCCAATCGTACCGAAAGGGAAGGATTTCAAAGATTTACCACTATTGAGCCCAACTCCTCTGCCCCCAGGGAGACCACACAAAACAAGGGGCCCAATGGGCCTGCATCGCTCCCCTCACAATTGTCCCCTTAAATTGAACTGAAACATAGCTACACAATTGACCAGATGTGACCTTAAAAGTGTGTCAATGTCATTCACATGAACAAGCTTGATAGCTCTTCACCTGAGCATGCTACTGGTCATATATCACCATCCTTTGCTTTTTTATTATTCAGAAGAAATCATTTCAAGTTTTTACCAAATTTGACCCCTATGCCCTTGAATATATTTATGTCATTCTTTTGAAGAAACTTTTCAGACCTTTCATTCCAGCATGATATGATACTGGTTAAATAGCATCATCCTAGCTACTTTTTTTATAATCAGGAGATATATTTGACACCTGTTACTTTTAAAGTGGGTGAAACAATTCATGCCTCAAAGTTACTAGCCTAATATCATCACCCTGGACCTTTCTGTTATTCAAAAGAAGCTGTTTAAAGGATTTTGAAGAAAATTGACTCCTGTGACCTTGAATATGGGTGAAGGTAATTTATTTGAAGAAATTTGGTTGCCTTTCATCCAAGCATGCTTCTGGTAAAATGTTATCACACAGGACCTTTTGGTTATTCAAAACATGTTGTTTAAATGATTTCAACATATTTGACTCCTGTGAACTTTAATGTAGGTGAAGGTCATTCATTTGAACGAACTTGGTAGCCCTTCATCCCAACATGATTCTGGCCAAATATCATCATCCCGGGCCTTTTGGTTATTAAGAAGAAGTCGTTTAAAGATTTGAAATAAATTGGACCCATGTGATCTTGAATATGGTTGAAGGTCATTCATTTGAACAAACTTAGTAGCCCTTCATACCAGTATGTTACTAGCTAGATATCATCATCCTGGGCCTTTTGGTTAGTTAGAAGAAGTCTTTAAAGATTTTAAATATATTTGACCCATGTGACCTTGAATAATGGCTTAATATCATCAGCCTGGGCATTTGGTTATTCAGAAGAAGTACTGTATATATTTTAAACAGATTTGACCCCCATGAACTTGAATATAGGTCAAGGTCATTCATTTGAACAAACTTGATAGCCCTTCATCGAAGTATGTTTCTGACCAAATATCATCACCTTGGGCATTTGGTTATTCAAAAGAAGTTGTTTATTGGTGTTAAATATACCAGCATGTTAATTGCAAAATATTATCAGCCTGGGCCTTTTGGCTAATGACCCCTATGACCTTGAATATAAGTCAAAGTCATTCATTTGACCAAAGTTGGAAGCCCTTCATCCCAGCATGTTATTGGCCAAATATCATTATCCTGGGCCTCCTGATCATTCAGAAGAAGTTGTAAAAAGTAAAAAGCTTTCTGGCCAGACAACAGAGGATCCAAGAGTGGAGTCCTCAGTGACCTTAGCTGTTGATAGAATAATAAACTCTATAAAACCAAGAGTGGGGTCCTCAGTGACCTTAGCTGTTGATGGGATAATAAACTCTATAAAACCAAGAGGGGAGTCCTCAGTGACCTTAGCTGTTGCTAGATTGTTAGACTCTATAAAACCAAGAGTGGAGCCCTCAGTGACCTTAGCTGTTGATGGGATAATAAACTCTATAAAACCAAGAGGGGAGTCCTCAGTGACCTTAGCTGTTGCTAGATTGTTAGACTCTATAAAACCAAGAGTGGAGTCCTCAGTGCCCTTAGCTGTTGATAGGATGTTAAACTCTATAAAACCACGAGTGGAGTCCTCAGTGACCTTAGCTGTTGGTAGGATAATAAACTCTATAAAACCAAGAGGGGAGTCCTCAGTGACCTTAGCTGTTGGTAGGATAATAAACTCTATAAAACCAAGAGGGGAGTCCTCAGTGACCTTAGCTGTTGATGGGATAATAAACTCTATAAAACCAAGAGTGGAGTCCTCAATGACCTTAGCTGTTGCTAGGATAATAAACTCTATAAAACAAAGAGTGGAGTCCTCAGTGACCTTAGCTGTTGCTAGATTGTTAGACTCTATAAAACCAAGAGTGGAGCCCTCAGTGACCTTAGCTGTTGATAGGATAATTATAAACTCTATAAAACCAAGAGTGGAGTCCTCAGTGACCTTGGACCTGAGGAAGCTCTGCTACTATTATTCAGGCTAGAGGCGGGTGTTCTGACATTATTTTGGGCGAAGAGGCTGCACTACCATTTTGTTGGCCCATAGGGGCTGTACTAATATTATTTTGGCCTGAGGAGGCTCTACCTCAATTATTTGGGCCCAAGGAGCCTGTACTTCCAATATTTGGGTCCAAGGTGGCTGTTCTAATATTATTTGGGCCTGAGGCGGCTCTACTACCATTATTTGGGCCCAAGGCAGCTCTACTACCATTATCAAAGTACCGGTTGACAATGGATGCTCCCAATCAAGTTCAGTAGGTCATTCTGGACGACTCGTATTCAAAAGGAAATATCAAACGAATATTGCACCTTGACAGGTAAGCTTACTTGGCTTTTAGGCAGATGATGTCAGTGGAAATTACTTACCCTGGCAAAATCAAAATGAGGCTCATAATGTCCACCAAGGCCATAATTAGCAATCTGGAAATACACAAAAACATGTCAGCTATACAAGGGAATATGTAGCATATCTGTATTAGATTTTTCATGCCCAGCAATTTTATGTATGGTTGTGGGGATCTTAACTGTTTCCAAGCTGTGACTCAGAAACTAGGTCCCTAGGGTTGTGACCAGACCTCAGGATCAATTATAATATCATGACTGCATTCGTCTCTTTTTGCCCATCATTTGTATTTATAGTTTTGGGGTGTGGATGGGGTGTGGATCTCAACAGTTTCTAAGTTATGACCCAGGGGTTAAGTCTGCAAGGTTGGGGCAGACCTTGGGGTCAATTCTAATATCATGACTGCAATCGTCTTTTTATGCCCAACAATTGTATATTTAGTTTTTGGGTGGGGATCTAAACCATTTCGAAGTTATGACCCAGGGATTAAGTCTCCAAGGGTGGGGCAGTCCCAAAGGCCATCCTGGAAGCATATGTGCATTCATCTCTTTATACTCTGTAATTGTATATAATATGGTTATAGGTTGGGAATCTCAACTGTTTCCAAGCTGTGACTAAGAAACTAGGTCCGTCGGGGTTCACTCAGACCCAAGGGTCTATTCTAATATCATAAATGCATTTGTCTCTTTATGCCCAGCATTTGTATACATAATTTTGGGGTGGGGATCTCAACCGTTTTAAAGTTATGGCCCAGGGACTATGTTTCTAAGGGTGGGGCTAGACCCTAGGGCCATCCTGGAAGCAGATGTGTATCCTTCTCTTTATTCTCAGCAATTGTATCTATGGCTATACAGTGGGGATTTCAACCAAGTAATAAACTTTGTTTGACCCCATTCCTAAGCTCGGGGGGTCAGCCCCACCATTTGTACAATTTTGAATCCCTGCCTCCCATGAAAGCTTTTGATCAATTATGATTGATATCCATTGCATAGTTCTACAGAAGAAGACGTTTGTAGCAATATAGCCAAATTGCCACCACCTAGGGATACTTCCAGTCTAATATGGTTGGTATCCTTCACTTAGTTCCAGAGAAGAAGTCGCTTAAAGCAACATAGCTAAATTGCCCCCTTTTGGCCCCACCCCTAAGCTCCCTGGGGGGTCAGCCCCACCATTTGTAAAATTTTGAATCACCACCACCTAGGGATTCTGCCAGTCAAATATGGTTGATATCCATCACTTAGTTCCAGAGAAGAAGTCGCTTAAAGCAATAAAGCCTAATTGCCCCCTTTTGGCCCCGCCACTCAGCCCCCAGGGGGGTTAGCCTCACCATTTGTACAATTTTTGAATCACCACCACCTAGGAATGCTTCCAATCCAATATGATTGATATCCAGTGCATAGTTCTACAGAAGTTGTTTGTAGCGATATAGCCAAATTGCCCCCTTTTACGCCCATCAGCCACCTGGGGGGTCAGCCCAACTATTTGTACAATTTTGAATCACCACCACGTAGGGATACTTCCAGTCAAGTATGGTTGATATCCATCACTTAATTCTAGAGTAGACGTCGCTTAAAGCAATATAGCCAAATTGCCCCCTTTTGGCCCCACCCCTCAGCACCTTGGGGGGTCAGCCCCACCATTTGTACAATTTTGAATCCCCACCACCTAGGAATGCTCCCAGTCCAATATGATTGATATCCAGTGCATAGCTCTACAGAAGTTGTTTGAAGCGATATAGCCAAATTGCCCCCTTTTACGCCCATCAGCCACCTGGGGGGTCAGCCCAACCATTTGTACAATTTTGAATCCCTGTCTCCCATGATTGCTTTTGATCAAATATGATTGATATCCACTACTTAGTTCCAGAGAAGAAGTCGCTTAAAGCAATATAGCCAAATTGCCCCCCTTTGGCCCCGCCCCTAAGCTCCCTGGGGGGTAAGCCCCACCATTTGTACAATTTTGAATCCCCAACACCTAGGGATGCTTTCAGTCAAATTTAGTTGAATTCCAATTAGTGGTTAACAAGAATAAGTCGTTTAAAGAAATTGTTGATGGACGGACGGAAGATGGATGAACGACGGACGCCACAGTATGGCATAATCTCACCTTGGTCCTTCAGACCAGGTTACCTGAAAACTTGTTGCCGCTGTCGCCAGAAAAGCAAGACCTTAGTCTCCCTTCCACTTCGTGGCAGAGAAACAAAACAACTCCCTTGTTACTCCCTATAACATTACTAACCCTACCAGTCCCTGTCATCTGTGTGGCTCCCTATAACATTACTTCCCCTACCAGTCCCTGTCATCTGTGTGACTCCCGATAACATTACTAAACCTACCAGTCCCTGTCATCTGTGTGACTCCCGATAACATTACTAAACCTACCAGTCCCTGTCATCTGTGTGACTCCCTATAACATTATTTACCCTACCAGTCCCTGTCATCTGTGTGAGTCCCTATAACATTACTAACCCTACCAGTCCCTGTCATCTGTGTGACTCCCTATAACATTACTAACCCTACCAGTCCCTGTTATCAGTGGGACTCCCTATAACATTACTTACCCTACCAGTCCCTGTCATCTGTGTTACTCCCTATAACATTACTAACCCTACCAGTCCCTGTCATATGAGTGACTCCCTATAACATTACTAACCCTACCAGTCCCTGTTATCAGTGGGACTCCCTATAACATTACTTCCCCTACCTGTGACTCCCTATAACATTACTAACCCTACCAGGCCCTGTCATCTGTGTGACTCCCTATAACATTACTTACCCTACCAGTCCCTGTCATATGTGTGACTCCCTATAACATTTCTTACCCTACCAGTCCCAGTCATCTGTGTGACTCCCTATAACATTACTAACCCTACCAGTCACTGTCATATGTGTGACTCCCTATAACATTACTAAACCTACCAGTCCCTGTCATCTGTGTGACTCCCTATAACATTCCTACCCCTACCAGTCCCTGTCATATGTGTGACTCCCTATAACATTTCTTACCCTACCAGTCCCAGTCATCTGTGTGACTCCCTATAACATTACTAACCCTACCAGTCTCTGTCATCTGTGTGACTCCCTATAACATTACTAACCCTACCAGGCCCTGTCATCTGTGTGACTCCCTATAACATTACTTACCCTACCAGTCCCAGTCATCTGTGTGACTCCCTATAACATTACTAACCCTACCAGTCCCTGTCATCAGTGGGACTCCCTATAACATTACTTACCCTACCAGTCCCTGTCATATGTGTGACTCCCTATAACATTACTTACCCTACCAGTCCCAGTCATCTGTGTGACTCCCTAAAACATAACTAACCCTACCAGTCCCTGTCGTCTGTGTGACTCCCTATAGCATTACTAACCCTTTCAGTCCCTGTCATCTGTGTGACTCCCTTTACATTACTAACCCTACCAGTCCCTGTGGTCTGTGTGACTCCCTATAACATAACATAACCCTACCAGTCCCTGTCATCTGTGTGACTCCCTATAACATTACTCAACCTACCAGTCCTTGTCGTCTTTGTGACTCCCTATATCATTACTAACCCTACCAGTCCCTGTCATCTGTGGAGCTACCTATAATCTTACTCAACCTACCAGTCCCTGTCGTCTGTGGGACTCCCTATAACATTACTAACCCTACCAGTCCCTGTCATATGTGTGACTCCCGATAACATTACTTACCCTACCAGTCCCAGTCATCTGTGTGACTCCCTAAAACATAACTAACCCTACCAGTCCCTGTCGTCTGTGTGACTCCCTATCACATTACTAACCCTACCAGTCCCTGTCATCTGTGTAACTACCTATAATCTTACTCAACCTACCAGTCCCTGTCGTCTGTGGGACTCCCTATAACATTACTAACCCTACCAGTCCCTGTGATCTGTGTGACTCCCGATAACATTACTAAACCTGCCAGTCCCTGTCATCTGTGTGACTCCCTATAACATTCCTAACCCTACCAGTCCCTGTCATCTGTGTGGCTCCCTATAACATTACTAACCCTACCAGTCCCTGTCATCTGTGTGGCTCCCTATAACATTACTTACCCTACCAGTCCCAGTCATCTGTGTGACTCCCTAAAACATAACTAACCCTACCAGTCCCTGTCGTCTGTGTGACTCCCTATAACATTACTTACCCTACCAGTCCCTGTCATATGTGTGACTCCCGATAACATTACTTACCCTACCAGTCCCAGTCATCTGTGTGACTCCCTAAAACATAACTAACCCTACCAGTCCCTGTCGTCTGTGTGACTCCCTCTAACATTACTAACCCTACCAGTCCCTGTCATCTGTGGAACTACCTATAATCTTACTCAACCTACCAGTCCCTGTCGTCTGTGTGACTCCCTATAACATTACTAACCCTACCAGTCCCTGTCATATGTGGGACTCCCTATTACATTACTAACCCTACCAGTCCCTGTCATCTGTGTGACTCCCTATAACATTACTCAACCTACCAGTCCCTGTCGTCTGTGGGACTCCCTATAACATTACTAACCCTACCAGTCCCTGTTGTCTGTGTGACTCCCTTTAAAATTACTCACCCTACCAGTCTCTGTCATCTGTGGGACTCCCTATAACATTACTTACCCTACCAGTCCCTGTCGTCTGTGTGACTCCCTTTAAAATTACTCACCCTACCAGAACTAGTCATATGTATGACTCCTCATGCTTAAACAGAGATCAAGGCACAGGTCTCAATACCTTGTAGACAATACTCACTTGTAAATCTTCTGCAGTTGACATGTCTAAGCCAGTGGCTGCTTCAATTCTACTGTTTACTCGCCTTATAGCAAGGTCATCTTCATCTTTTAACCAGGCACTGTAAAGAAATAAGGATGTTCTCTACATTCTGTTACTACTGATTTGTTGGATTGATGAAACTTTTACTGATCCTGTATGTAGTACTCACCTGTTACTGATCCTGTATGTGGTACTCACCTACTCACCTTTTACTGATACTGTATGTAGTACTCACCTGTTACTGATGCTGTATGTAGTACTCACCTTTTACTGATCCTGTATGTAGTACTCACCTGTTACTGATCCTGTATGTAGTACTCACCTGTTACTGATCCTGTATGTAGTACTCACCTGTTACTGATCCTGTATGTAGTACTCAACTACTCACCTTTTACTGATCCTGTATGTGGTACTCACCTGTTAATGATCCTGTATGTAGTACTCACCTGTTACAGATCCTGTATGTGGTACTCACCTACTCACCTTTTACTGATCCTGTATGTAGTACTCACCTGGTACTGATCCTGTATGTAGTACTCACCTGTTACTGATCCTGTATGTGGTACTCACCTGTTAATGATCCTGTATGTAGTACTCACCTGTTTCTGATCCTGTATGTAGTACTCACCTTTAATCATGATCCTGTATGTAGTACTCACCTGCAACTGATCCTGTATGTAGTACTCACCAGTTACTGATCCTGTATGTAATACTCACCTGTTACTGATGCTGTATGTAGTACTCATCTGTTACTGATCCTGTATGTAGTACTCACCAGTTACTGATCCTGTATGTAATACTCACCTGTTACTGATCCTGTATGTAGTACTCACCTTTAATCATGATCCTGTATGTAGTACTCACCTGCGACTGATCCTGTATGTAGTACTCACCAGTTACTGATACTGTATGTAATACTCACCTGTTACTGATCCTGTATGTGGTACTCACCTGTTACTGATCCTGTAAGTAGTACATGTAGTACTCACCTGTTACTTATACTGTATGTAGTACTCACCTGTTAATTATGCTGTATGTAGTACGTATCTGTTAGTATGTAGTACTCACCTGTTACTGGTCCTGTATGTAGTACTCACCTGTTTCTGATCCTGTATGTAGTACTCACCTTTTACTGATACTGTATGTACTACTCACCTGTTAATTATGCTGTCTGTAGTATGTATCTGTTACTGATCCCATATGTAGTACTCCCCTGTTACTGATCCTGTATGTAATACTCACCTGTTACTGATGCTGTATGTAGTACTCACCTGTTAATTATGCTGTCTGTAGTATGTATCTGTTACTGATCCCATATGTAGTACTCCCCTGTTACTGATCCTGTATGTAATACTCACCTGTTACTGATACTGTATGTAATACTCACCTGTTACTGATCCCGTATGTAGTACTCACCTGTTAATTATGCTGTATGTAGTATGTATCTGTTACTGATCCCATATGTAGTACTCACCTGTTACTGATGCTGAATATAGTACGTATCTGTTACTGATACTGTATGTAATACTCACCTGTTACTGATCCTGTATGTAATACTCACCTGTTACTGATACTGTATGTAGTACTCACCTGTTACTGATCCTGTATGTAGTACTCACCTTTTACTGATCCTGTATTTAATACTCAGATTTAATCATGATCCTGTATGTAGTACTCACCTGTTCCTGATCCTGTATGTAGTACTCACCTGTTACTGATCCTGTATGTAGTACTCACCTTTTACTGATCCTGTATTTAATACTCACCTTTAATCATGATCCTGTATGTTGTACTCACCTTTTACTGATCCTGTATGCAGTACTCACCTGTTACTGATCCTGTATGTAGTACTCACCTGTTAATTATGCTGTATGTAGTATGTATCTGTTACCGATGCTGTATGTAGTACTCACCTGTTACTGATCCCGTATGTAGTACTCACCTGTTACTGATGCTGAATATAGTACGTGTCTGTTACTGATACTGTATTTAGTTCTCACCTGTTACTGTTGCTGTATGTAGTACTCACCATTTACTGATACTGTATGTACTAATTTAATACTCACCTTTAATCATGATCCTGTATGTAGTTCTCACCTTTTACTGGTCCTGTATTTAATGCTCAGATTTAATCATGATCCTGTATGTAGTAATCACCTGTTACTGATGCTGTATGTAGTACTCACCTTTTACTCATGATGCTGTATGTAGTACTCACCTTTTACTGATACTGTATGTAGTACTCACCTGTTACTGATACTGTATGTAGTACTCACCTTTTACTGATACTGTATGTACTACTCACCTGTTAATTATGCTGTATGTAGTACGTATCTGTTACTGATGCTGTATGTAGTACTCACCTATTACTGATACTGTATGTAGTACTCACCTGTTACTGAAGCTGTATGTAGTACTCACCTATTACTGATCCTGTATGTAGTACTCACCTGTTACTGATACTGTATGTACTACTCACCTGTTACTGATCCTTTATGTAATACTCACCTGTTACTGATACTGTATGTAGTACTCAACTGTTATTGATCCTGTATGTAGTACATGTAATACTCAACTGTTACTGATACTGTATGTAATACTCACCTGTTACTGATCCGGAATGTAGTACTCAACTGTTACTGATCCTGTATGTCGTACATGTAATACTCAACTGTTACTGATGCTGTATGTAGTACTCGCCTATTACTGATACTGTATGTAGTACTCCCCTGTTACTGATGCTGTATGTAGTACTCGCCTATTACTGATACTGTATGTAGTACTCCCCTGTTACTGATGCTGTATGTAGTACATGTAGTACTCAACTGTTACTGATACTGTATGTACTACTCACCTGTTAATTATACTGTATGTAGTACGTATCTGTTACTGGTGCTGTATGTAGTACTCACCTGTTTCTGATCCCGTATGTAGTACTCACCTGTTACTGGTCCTGTATGTAGTCCTCACCTGTTACTGATACTGTATGTACTACTCACCTGTTAATTATACTGTATGTAGTACGTATCTGTTACTGGTGCTGTATGTAGTACTCACCTATTACTGATACTGTATGTAGTACTCACCAGTTACTGATCCTGTATGTAGTACTTGTAATACTCAACTGTTACTGATACTGTATGTACTACTCACCTGTTACTGATACTGTATGTACTACTCACCTGTTACTGATCCTGTATGTGGTCCTGTATGTAGTACTCACCTGTGACTGATCCTGTATGTAGTACTCCCCTGTTACTGATACTGTATGTAGTACTCCCCTGTTACTGATGCTGTATGTAGTACTCCCCTGTTACTGATACTGTATGTAATACTTACCTGTTACTGATCCTGTATGTAGTACATGTAGTACTCACCTGTTACTGATCCGGTATGTAGTACTCACCTGTTACTGATCCTGTATGTAGTATTCACCTTAAATCATGATCCTGTATGTAGTACTCACCTTTTACTGATCCTGTTTGTAGTACTCACCTGTTACTGATCCTGTATGTAGTACATGTAATACTCAACTGTTACTGATACTGTATGTAGTACTCATCTGTGACTGAACCTGTATGTAGTACTCAACTGTTACTGATCCTGTATGTAGTACTCAACTGTTACTGATCCTGTATGTAGTACTCGCCTGTGACTGATCCTGTATGTAGTACTCACCTGTGACTGATCCTGTATGTAGTACTCACCTTTAATGATCCTGTATGTAGTACTCACCTTTTAATTATGCTGTATGTAGTTTGTATCTGTTACTGATCCTGTATGTAGTACTCACCTGTTACTGATGCTGTATGTAGTACTCACCTTTTACTCATGATCCTGTATGTAGTACTCACCTTTTACTGATACTGTATGTAGTACTCACCTTTAATCATGATCCTGTATGTAGTACTCATCTGTGACTGATCCTGTATGTAATACTCACCTGTTACTGATCCTGTATGTAGTACTCACCTTTAATCATGATCCTGTATGTAGTACTCACCTGTGACTGATCCTGTATGTAGTACTCATCTGTGACTGATCCTGTATGTAGTACTCACCAGTTACTGATCCTGTATGTAGTACATGTAGTCCTCACCTGTTACTGATCCTGTATGTAGTACTCACCTGTTACTGATCATGCATGTAGTACTCACCTTTTAGCCATGATCCTGTATGTAGTACTCACCTGTTACTGATCCTATATGTAGTATTCATCTGTTACTGATCCTGTATGTAGTACATGTAGTACTCACCTGTTACTGATACTGTATGTAGTACATGTAGTACTCAACTGTTACTGATGCTGTATGTAGTCCTTACCTGTTACTGATACTGTATGTAGTATTCACCTTTTAGTCATGATCCTGTATGTGGTACTCACCTTTTACTGATCCTGTATGTAATACTCCCCTGTTACTGATCCTACATGTAGTACTCACCTTTTACTGATCCTGTATGTAGTACATGTAATACTCAACTGTTACTGATCCTGTATGTAGTACTCACCAGTTACTGATCCTGTATGTAGTACGTACCTGTTACCGATGCTGTATGTAGTACTTACCTGTTACTGATACTGTATGTAGTACTCAACTGTTACTGATGCTGTATGTAGTTCTCACCTGTTACTGATCCTGTATGTAATACTCCCCTGTTACTGATCCTACATGTAGTACTCACCTGTGACTGATCCTGTATGTAGTACTCATCTGTTACTGATCCTGTATGTAGTACTCAACTGTTACTGATGCTGTATGTAGTCCTTACCTGTTACTGATACTGTATGTAGTACATGTAGTACTCAACTGTTACTGATGCTGTATGTAGTCCTTACCTGTTACTGATACTGTATGTAGTATTCACCTTTTAGTCATGATCCTGTATGTGGTACTCACCTTTTACTGATCCTGTATGTAGTACATGTAGTACTCACCTGTTACTGATCCTGTATGTAGTACGTACCTGTTACTGATGCTGTATGTAGTACTTACCTGTTACTGATACTGTATGTAGTACTCACCTTTTAATTATGCTGTATGTAGTACGTATCTGTTACTGATCCTGTATGTAGTTTTCTCCTTTTACTGATTTTGTGTATAGTACTCACCTTTTACTGATCCTGTATGTAGCTGTTTCTAATTTGCCAGTCTTTGCATTGTGAACTGTTGCCCGGCCGAGCTAGCGCCAGAAAAACAAAGAAGAACATTGATAACAGCCCTTAGTACCTTTTGCTGATTCTATAACTGGCTGTTTCTATCACTCCTGTCTGAGGATTTCGAACTGTTGCTGTATTCAGCTGGTAAAAAAGAAATATATAAACTCAATTACAAATTCAGCCCCAAACAATCCTATCAGAACTTCTACATCAGTCTGTATGTAGGATTTAAAACATTAAAGGAATATTCTAACAAGCCATTTGAATTGATGTGTCCTGCCTGTGCCCTGCTTTGATCATCAATGTACATGTCAAGTTTGGTTGGTCTAGCACTTATAGTTTCAGAGAAACTAACTTAAATACAACAAGAGGCCCAAGAGGGCCTGTATCGCTCACCTGAATAATTAAGCAGTCATAGCAAAATATTCTCATTAAATATTATATTGCACTAAAAATATTTCCCTCGCAAACTTTGTTGGCTCCATCTGTTGAAACTACCAGCAAAATATTATTATAAGATTCTATGCTTTTTGACTCTTCTTCAGAAGTTGCTTGACATATTTTTCCCTGTGATCTTGTAAGTAGGTCAATGTCATTTTCCTTCTCAAATTGGTTAGCTCTATTCCAAAA